GGTCTGATAGCCTAGCCCTTCTCTTCCCTGTTGAGGCGAGGGTTGGATAGGCTGAGTAATTCCCTGATTTAATTTTCCTAATTTTTTTTTCAGGGTGAAATCCCATTTATCTCATTATCTTTTGACTCTGAGGACTATACAGTCCAGGAGGGATCCAAATTTCTGCTTCCCACTGGGTTAGTAAATCTCTACCCCACAAATTGATGGGAATGTCCGCAACATAAGGTTGTAAAAATCCCTGCTGACCCTCCCGTCCTGTGCAAGGAAAAATGCAGACACTCTGACGTAAGACTGAAGCTCTTCCTACTCCAACAATATTAATGTTAGGTTCTTGTACTTCCCAATTTTTTGGCCATTCTTGAGAACTGATAAGAGAAACATCAGCTCCAGTGTCTAAAAGACCGTTCAATTTCTTTCCTTGAATTTTAATTTGACACACAGGACAAATTTTGGAGATTCTTTCGGCTAGAAAAATACCTGCCTGTCCTGTACTTCCAAAACTTCCAATTCCTCTTTTTATGTGTCCCCTTTTTTCCCGGGAGGATATATGAGAGCAGAAGTAGCTGTGCAATCCGCTCTCCTTTCTTAGTAGACCAAGGAACTATGGAAGGTATTATAATCTGAATTTCTCCTTCATAATCTGAGTCAATAATACCTGTATGGACTGGTACTCCTTTGGAGGTTAAGCTAGAATGACCAAGGAGAAGTCCAACAGTATCAGGTGGAAGTGGCCCAAAAATCCCCGTGGGCACACAGAGAGGTGTTTCTCCTGGAAGCAGTAGGTCTTGAGTCGTGCAGACATCTACCGCTGCACTCCCTTCTGTTGCTGGACTTAATTGCTGTACTGAAGATTTGGGGGAGGCACTGCTTGGTAATTCTGAGGAACGGCTGGTGTTACATATGCCCCCATTATTGTCGGGGTCTGGGGCTGGCCCCTTTCCCCGTTTCCCTGAAGTGGAGTTCCATCCTTATGAAAAACTGATCTACATTTAGATGCCCAGTGTCTCCCTTTTTGGCACCTAGGACATACTCCAGGTGGCTTAGATTCTGCAGGAGCAGAATTAGGCGTATGGGAGGCATTTTTATTTTTCTTCCTGCATTCCTTCTTTGTGTGACCAGGTTTTCTACAATTATAGCAAGTGCCAGGAAATTTATTTTTTCCCATAGTCATTCCCGTAATAGCTTGTGCTAGCATAGTGGCTTTAAATTGTCCCTACCCCTTGACATAAGCGAAGGTATCCCATCATATCTGTTTTTCCCTTTTGAGCTCCTATTGCCTTTTAACAATTCTCATTAGCATTATCATAGGCCATAATTTGTAAAATTATATCAGCCTCTTGAGCGTTGGCACTCTGCTTATTTATAGCATCCTGCAAGCAGGCAATGAACTCTGAATAAGGCTCCTGAGGTCCTTGGATGACATTTTGAAAGGAAGATGGAGCTTTTCCTTCCATTTCTATTTTTCCCCACGCCATCAAACAGATTCTTTTAAGCTGGTCTTGTGCTTGACAGCTCATAGTGACCTGATTCTGAGGATCTATCCATTCTCCTTCACCCAGTAACTGATCTTTAGTGATATTAATTTCGCCAGCCTGACTATGTCTGCCCTGAATTTCCGCACCATCGATCCACCAAGTTTTAAACTGCAAAAATTGAGATGGCGAAAGACAAGTTTTGGCTAGAGCATTCCAATCTATTGGTATCATCCTATTTCCCTCAGTAATACCTCTAACCAATCCTATGGTATAGGGAGAAGTTGGACCAAATTGAGTAACTACCTGTTTAAGTTCTTTAAGAATTTTAAAAGGAACAGGTTCATGTTCTAGCACATGCATATACCATTTGGATATTCATTATTGGGTACTATACACTCCTGAATTATTACTGGAAAGTTCAAAGTGTCCAAATCTTTTAACCTAGCCTGATGTATTCCTCTTTCTATAGCTGACAGTGATGAATACGGAACTTGAGCATAAGGAGGAGGCGCTTGTGTAGCGGGAGAAACTGGATGTTTAAGTCTTGGTGGTTTTTTTATTTAACCCCCAGTCTTTCATTCTATTTACTGGTGGTGGAGGCAAATGGCTAGATTGCTGTAGATCATCCTCCAAAGAAGAGTATAATGTTTTAGGAATTATTATAGGAGCTTCTAAAGAATCCTCTTTATCTAAAGAATCCTCTTCTTCTTCCGTGTCAGTATTTAAAGGTTCTAAAACTGACTGGACCCGTCTCCAAGTGGTATTAATTCTTCTTGAAATGTTTGGTACAATTCAGTGGTGAAGCCACCTGGGCCTAGTCTCTGAGGGTAGTTTCTTTATTACTACTAATTCGATCTCTCTGTTTCAGGTTTAGTCAGCTTGTCTATTTCATCTTGAGTCAGTTTCAGCAATTTGTGTCTTTGTAGGAATTTATGCATTTCATCTAAGTTTTCTAATTTGTTGGCATACAGAGTACATAGTATTCTTTTGTAATCTTGTTTATTTCTGTGCATTGGGTACAAATACCCCCCTCTCATTTATGACTCTAATAATTTGAATCTTCTCTTTTTTCTAGTCAATAAGCTGTCGTCAATTTTGCTGATCTTCTAAAAGAACCAGCTTTGGGTTTCATTGATTTTCTCTGCTGTTTTTCTAGTCTAATTTCTGCTCTAATCTAGTGTCTGCTATGCCTAGCTGGTTTATAGTGTTGTTTTAAGTCTATTATTTTATTGTTGATTATTTTTTTAGTTTTTCATGAATTCTATAGGTTAAGAAAATTACTTTTAAGTGTGATTTGTGTTCCAAGTATTTCCTTCTTGGTTGTTTTGATCTTTGTCATAATTTCTTCCAAGCAGAGTTTTCTTGTTAACCTTTTATATAGTTGATTTTATTCAAGTTTTATAGTTTCTTGTCATACTGAAAAAGTCTAGACTTGTAAGAAAATTTTCTCATCTTTTTGTAGTACTTTAATGGTTTCATATATTACAATTAACTCATTGATCCACCTAGTCTTAATTTTCTATTAAGAAGAGCATAAGGAAAACTATATTATTTTCCAGCAGTCATCTTAGTTGCTCCAGCACCGTTATTGAATAGTCACATTGTTGTCATTGACAGGAAGTGCCATCATCATAACATTACTAAGGAAAGTGTTTTGAAAGTGAGGTTCTCTAGAGTATCTTTTAATATGACAAATATGAATCAGAGGAGATGGGTAGATAGATTCTGCAGGGAGAATGAGGTCACCTGGAGGAGCAAAGACCTGCAGATGAAGGTTGAGCCTGGAGACATGGGCTGTCTAGTACAACAGCTCCTTCATATCCTCAGCTTAGTGCCTGGAGATGCCTCTGCATTACAGGGAAGTTTCGGGCCCCCTTTCTTTGGGTCATTGACTCTCTATAGGTAGGACCCATTTCTCCTTCCACTTTACAGCCACAGTAGATGGCATGAGCGTTGACTGTAGGATTTCACTTCATTGTTGTATTATTTCTGCACCTCTTTGTGTCTTCCATTGACTAGGAACTCATTGAGGACATGAATTAGCACTTTCTTCTATAAGTTTGCAGGGCCGCAGGCTGTGCTGTCCAATACAGTAGTCACTAGGCCTGTGTGGGAATGGAACACTTCAAATGGTTTCTCTGAATTGAGGTAAGTTGTGAGTGAAAACTACACACTGGATTTCAAAGGCAAAGTGAGGGGACCCTTCATGCAGAAGGGAAAAGTCTGTTCTTAACATCTCATAAAGCAAAGACATTTTCCTTACTTTTTCAAAACTGATTTTACCAAGGTAAAATTTGAATTGTCATAAGATTTCCTCTATCCCCCCCCCAAAAAAATAATTGGAATTTTTATTAAATTTTAAAAAGTTAAACTACAAAGAATTGAGATATTATTGTCAATTTGCAATATTTTTATATCAAAGAAGATAGCATTTCAAGTCAAATATTTTATTATAACTCAACTAAGATTTGTCTTTTTCTTCATAGAAATTGTTCTACTTTCTTGTCAAGGCTGTTTTCTTTGTGTTTTAAGTTTTGTAACCCGTATAAAGTGGATCCTCTTATAATTACATTTTCTAATTTATTGTTTCTGCCATGTTTTAAATGTTAATGTAGGTATACACTGATATTTAAGTATTGTTATATAAACCTCAGGATTTTAAAAGTACAGTCATACCTAAAATAAAGACGATTCTTCCTGCTCCATCCAAGAATCTGCCTCTTTTGTTTCACATCTGCATGGGCCAGAACTTGAGAAACACTGTTCAGCCTCCACTATTTAACCACTAAGAATTACATTGGTTCTTAGTTTCATACAGAAATTCTAATCATTATGGATGCAGCCTCCTATGCTGAAATGGTTTAAAAAATCAAAATTGGTGTTGCATTTTACCAAATAATACCTTTTCATCCTCCATGGATGAGTGAATGCTTTCATTTCCTTATTTAGATTATTGATTTGGTACACTATTATTGATCAAGGACCTTTGTATTTGTGGAATAAACTTTTACTTTAGATATTGCAAAATGCCCTCATGTATATTTTCACTCCTTCCTTTCTCCCTTGATGCCTTCAGGCTTGCCACATATGGGTGGGTCTCCTGCCCTGACTCTGGGCTTCCAAGTGCTAGGTTCATGGGTGACTGGAATTTCAGCCCCTCCTCCCTTCCTTTTCTTCCCCCAGGGAGAGGGGGCCCCAGCCCTGGCTGGCTCCCCCACAACCTACCCCCACCCACAACTGCCCACACAGAGGAGGTGCTGCCATCTGATGGCAGCTCCTTCCAGACTAGGAGAGCCTGTGCACTTTTCAGAGGCAGGAAAGGTCCCAGGGGCCACTTCCGCCATCAGGAACAAGAGTGAGGGACAGAGGGGCCCCATGTCACATAGGCTCACCTAGTTAGAACACCAGCTGTCCCTCACTGGACTCTCCTCCAAGCTTCCCACTACAGTCTAACTCAGGGCTCACCTGCCACGCAGGAAATCTGTGCAACTGTTAAATAGAGTGAGGGAGCTTTCAAAGGACATGTATGGAAAAATATTCAAGCTATATTAAGTGAAAAAGCAAGAAGCTGAACAAGTTGGGAGAGAGTGAAGCCTTTTTTTTCCCCCCCTATATTCCTTCCTGAAAGTTCACGAAAGTTATCGCACCTCCGCGGAAGCTGGTACGGGAGGAAGTGGGGGCGAGGGACAGAAACCGAAAGTGAGCATAAATAAGGCTGTAGTCCCAGGGCAGGAGGGTAGTTCAAGGTTTATGAACAGAAGGAGCATTGGCCATGGAAAGGGGGGCGGGATCGGGAATGCAGATTCTGAACCTCACCAACGTCATCGCAGCCTAGCATCTGGGAGGTGTCCATTGTGTCCCCATTCATTGGCGTGGGCAGGATCCTGAATGAATCACATCTACAGAGTAGCTGCCTCCAGAGGAAGTTTGCTTAGCATTCCTTCTTCCTTCCGGCGAAATCAAGAAGCAGGGCTCTTCTTCTGAGCCAAGAAGTTAATTTCGACGGAGAAATAATTACGTCTACCGGATCGCAGAAAGTCTACCCTGCCTCACATTCGCCGCCGACGGGGCTGCAGCAGGGCTGGGTGGGTCCAGATAGCAACGCCGGGTCTCCGCGCATCCAGCAGGTGCAGGGCCTTCCGCGCCTCACGAAATCCACAGACGACTCCGGATGACGACCCTACCGGGACCGGGAGCGCTCCCCGACGGCACGGGGCAGCGGGGACACAGCGCGTGGGCCCCCTCGGGCGCCCGGGCCCTGCGGTCTCCAGCCCCGGTGCCGGCGCGGGGAGCCAGGCTTCGGCTCTGGGGCCCCAGGGCTCAGATTTTCGTCTTCGCTCTCCTGATGTGGGTGAGACTCCGACGCCTTTCTTGGCTCGGGAAGGCGCGCCTCGTGGCTGGGAAGGGGCAGGAAAGTAGGGACGGTGGGGTGCCCGCCCGGGCATGTCACGGTAAAGTCGGGAAGAGCGGGTTCCCCGAGCCTCGCAGGACCCACCTGGCCCGAAAGGGAGGAAAAGCCCGCGCTCGGCGCTTCCCCTCCCGGCCGTTGGCGCACAAGCCGCAGAGAGTGGCAGGATGATTTTACTTTCCTTTTACTCTATCGCTTTAGCCTCCTTATCTCTCTAACTCTCTTTATTTTGCCGTACATTTGAATTCTAAATCACGCATACTACAGATGAGTTAAACCTACACTCATTGTTTCTGTATAGTATCTGGATATTTATTATGTACCGAGAAAATATTCTGGAAGGATTAAGTTATGCTGGGAGTGAGGTTATGGGGACATAATGTTCTAAATTGCCGTGTTCTGTGTTATTAAATAAGTTTATAGTAAACACGTGCACATGTATGAACAGAATGCTCCCAGGTAAGAATAAATGTGCTCAACCAGAACCCTGGCGCTACCCTCCCCCTCCCAGCACTTGTTGTTGGGGCCCGAAAGCGCGTCCCCTTAACCTAAGTGGGGTGATGTTGACGCAAGCGGAATGATGGTCGATCACGCCAAATATAGTACGTGCTGAACAACGGGCGTGGCTGGCTGGGCTCAGCCAACCACCTGTGGTCTTCTTCCCTGGAGTTCACGGTCTCTCACGTCCCACTTGCTGTGGTTGATGCGGCTTGGGGAGGAAGGGATGGGGCAGAAGCCGACCGCATGACCAAATGCAGTAACCGCAATGAATAGAAATCAGTGAAATACGATGCTCTGACAGTAATTACCTGGAGTTAATGCAAACCCCACAAGTCGGGTTCAGTCCCACAAGGCTGCCCCCACTTCAGACATAAATCCTAAGTAGTGGGCTCCCACCGTTGCCCACACTTTTCTCAGACTGCCTATAACTCAAGGGTTCCCACCGCCCTCTCCTTTTGTTTGATAACTTGCTATAACAGCTCACAGAACTCAGGGAAACACGTTTTCGATTTATTATAAAGGATACTGAAGAACAACCAGATGAAGAGGTATATAGGGCGGGTTGTGGGAGGGTCCCAAGCGCGGGACCTTCTCTCTCTGTGCAGTTGGGGTGCTCCACCCTCCTAGCATGGGGATGTGTTCACCAACCTGGAAGGAAGCTCTCTGAACCCCATACTTCAGGGTTTTTTTGGAGGCTTTATCACATAGATATCATCAATTATTAACTCAATCCCCACCTCCTTTCCCTCCGTGAAGGATGGGGGTGGGGCTGAATAAGCCAAGGTTAGTCTTTCTGGTGACCAGCCCAGATCCTGAAATTGTTAAAGAGACCGCCTGGAGCAGCCTCATCAGGACAAAAGACACTCCTATCACCCGCCTGGATAAGGAAATTACAAGGGTTTTAAGAGCTCTGTTTCAGAGACCATATATATATATATATATATATATATATATATATATATATATATATATATATATATATGTATTGTTATGCCACAAATACAAACAATAAAAAGAACAGACAAAATGGAAAATTGGCTTCATGAAAGGATCAACAAAATTAATAAACCTCTAACTGGACAAAGAAAAAAAAAGATAGAACATAAAACCCCAGTATCAGGAAATAATGACGGATGGCACAACAAACTCTGCATCCATTGAAAAGATATAAAGGGGACCTTATGAATAACTTTATGCCAAATAATTAGACAATTTGGATAAAATGGACAAATTCCTTGAGAAATACTACCTAGCAAAATGGACACAAAATGAAAATATAATTGGAATTATTTACCTATTTATGAATTGGAATTCATTATCTAGAAGCTTACCACAGAACAAACTGTAGGCCTGAGCATTTCAATGGTAGATTCTAGAAATATTTATGGAAAAAATAGCACCAATCTTACACAAATTCTTTCAGAAAACATAGGAGTACTTAAGTGGTTTATGAGGCCAGCATAACCTAATATCCAAACCTGACAAAAACATTTCAAAAGAAGAAAAATACTGATCAATGTCCCTTTTAAAAATAGATGCAAAAATCTTTAACAAAATAGTGAACCAAATTCAGCAATATTTAAACATAATAACATGATGAAGTGGAGTTAATTTCAGGAATAAGTGTTGGATTAACATCAATCAGTGTTTTTCACTATATTAACAGTTTGGAGGAGAAAAACTAGCTGATTAGATGGAGAAACACATTTGAGAACATTTAACCCTCTTTCATGATAAAAGCTCTCCCTATATCAGGACAGGAAGGAACTTCCTGCATTTGATAAAGGCCATTTCCTCTTCGGGTGGTGGTGCAGGGACAGATTACCTGAGCCGGGGCATGATGCAATTCTCTGAGATGTTGCTAATACTCCATGATCTAGATAGAGAATTTGAGTTACACAAGTGTATGCATTTCTCAAAACTTTGAGTGGTACCTTTAAGAATTGTGCAGTTCAGTCTTTGTATGTTTTACCATTAAAAAAAGAATGTAAACAATACCAAACTCTAGTTAGTGAAATACATGCTGAAGTATTAACAGAAATGTACTAAATCTGCAACGGAATTTCATCATTAAAAGAAAACAGATGACTCGACAGAGGGATGGATAGAGAAAGAAGCAAATATAGCAAAATACTAGTTATAGAATCTAGGAGGTGAGTATATGGGAGTTCATTGTACAGGTCTGTAAACTTATTAAGGGCTTGAAAACGTTAAGGGAAAGAATGTTTGAGAGGAGAACCAGGAAAGACAGGGAATAGCACTGTGGGAGCAGAGAAAAGAGACAGAGGTTGCCTGACCACTGAGGCCCAGCCTGGAAAAGGGAGGATTCAGGGACACAGGGAGCTTAGCTGCCACCAAATACTTGACAGGCTTTTATCTGGGAAAGGGCCGCTTTTATCTTGTTTCCATCCCCGCAAGCTGAACTGGTCTCAACATAGAGTGGTTTTATTTTAACTTTTTCTTTTTTGCTTAATTTCACTTTCTACTTCCAAGCACTCCTATGTTAAAGTTACAACAACTATACAAAAACCTTTTCTTCTGAACCATTTGAAAAATCGGTGCTGACATGATAAGTAGACTGAATACTTTAGTATGTTTTGTACAAATGAGGACATTGACCCTCATAACCACAACATGACCTTCAAAATCTGAACATTAACATTATTGCCTTCAAACCCCACTCAATTTCTCTGACTGTTCCTAAGTCATTTTTAGCACAGAGACCCTGACCCAAATCCATATATTGCTATTTCCTGTACCTGTGTGACTGGTATTTTGTGGTACATTGACAGCCTCCTTTTGGAGACAGCTTGTCAGGTTAAAACCAGAGTTCATTTCGTAACATGTGATCTTGTATCCTGATTTTTAAAAAGTGTGCACATAGTATTAACCCTCATTTGTAAAAATGTCTGTGTGTGTGTGTGTGTGTGTGTGTG